CCAGCAGCAGATTCCCAAATGTATTGTTCATCATCATTGTGCTTTGTGATTACTTGAACTCGGTCAGCAACCAAGTATGCAGAGTAGAAACCCACACCAAATTGACCAATCATAGATATATCAGCTCCAGATTGAAGAGCTTCCATGAATGTTTTGGTGCCAGATCTAGCAATCGTACCAAGATTATTTACAAGGTCAGCCTAAAATAATGATGATGAGTATTTGAAATTAATAAGAAAAAAATAATTAATTAATTTTACATATTCATAAAACGTCACACAATATAATTTGATTGATGTAGGATCAAAAAAATAAAAAAAATATGTACCTTTGTCATACCAATACCAGTATCTCTAATAGAGAGCACTTTGTTTTCTTTATCAGGAGTTATCCTTATGTAAAGTTCACTTCCACTTTCAAGTTTTGAAGGATCAGTGAGGGATTCATATCGAATTTTATCCAAAGCATCAGATGAATTGGAAATCAATTCACGAAGGAAAATCCTATTTTATTAGTTGGGTTGTGCAGCAAAAATATAAATATCAAATACACATATATATATATTAATTTAAGTTTCTCCAACATATATATGCATGTATATATATATATATATTTATAAAAAAAAAATTTTTTCCATATATATAAAAAGTAGATTTTTTTTTTTTTTTTTTTTTTAAACCAAATAAAAATTTTTTTTTACTCACTCTTTATTTGAATAAAAAGTATTGATAATAATAGACATAAGCTGAGAAATTTCAGCTTGAAATGCAAATTGTTCAACTTCACCCATTTTTATTTTTATTTTTTTAAAAATTTATTAATGTGTTATTTATTTACAAAGTTGTAGAGAAAAAAATTTTTTTTTTTGAGATTTTTTCTTGTTGGACCATCATTTATATATTTTAGATTTTGATATGTAGGGTTTTGTGTTCTTTATGAAACAATCCCAAATTAAGTAAATCATCAACAATAAACGCAATACCTTTGGAAGATTCTAGCAATTGTGGAGGAAATGATGTGACACAGTCAAACTATGATTATAATCCGACACCCAATGAAAAGTGACCGTAAAACCTATAGAGCAGCCATATTTGAATGATCAAAATCATTTTAGTACATATTAATTTTGATAATTGACGGAAAAAAAACTCCGTATCACATTGGGATGATGGGTGTGCTGCGAACATTTGACTTCAGGGTTCATCACCAATGTAATAGTAATGCGATTGATTGATGGTAATAAAAAAAATATAGATTAAAGATAGGCAATACTCATCAACGAAATTGCTCTAGTGGTTTTATTCTTATAATTTTTTAAAATTTAGTATTTATGTATTTTTTTACCAACAGTTGAATGGATCAAAATAAATAAAACATTACTTATCCTTTATTGTTATTTAATCCTTTCCTTGAATGTGAATGCATTTGTCCTCGCTACTACACTATTCTATATGTCTGTTACAATATTCATGATGATTATGCAATGGATTTGATATAATTATTCACAATAAATAAATTGCGTCACCAAGTAATAATAATACCAGGAGCAAAATTTTTTAAGGACCGATTTTTGGTATAATGCCCTGACGAGTAAAGGATGAAAAATTTAGCAGAGCTGGAAAATAAATCTTGATGTATTTACCGAATTTTAATCCAATGACTTCTTTCCACGTAGAATGATGGTTCCATTCAAGGCGCTGTGGAAAAATTTTAGTGGTCAAGTCACTACTTGTTCCTTTTTTTTTATGTATGCCTCCTCAATTACAAGTTGTAGAGTTCCTTAAGACCGGTTCCAAGAAAAAATTAAAATGAACAAATCTGATACTGATCATAGGCAGGGTTGGCATTGGTCAACATCCTGAACATTATCCAATATGTTCAAGGTGTATTGTGACTTGGTGTTCTTGATGATGGCGAAATCAGATGATGGTGATTGGGTTGATGATGAGTTTGGTTGAGTGGTTGATTATTATTTTTTAGTTGGTGATTGAGATGGTGGAGTTGGAGTTGCTCAAGTGAATGTTGTGGTCGTTTATGATGTTGTTCTCGATCCTATTACTGTGCTTAATATTACGTGTGAATTATTGTTGGATCTAGAAGTACGGGATAATATCCGTGTCTGACTCTAATCCTGGTTATGGATGTCAAGTTTAATAAGTTTCCTCCTACAAACATATTAGTTGGTGCATTCACACACCCCAGCAATGGAATTTTTTTCTATATGTGAAGCTATCGCCATATTAGAAGGTTTTGGACAAGCGAGTGGCTTTAGCCAGTGTTGGCATTTGGCTAACATTATCAGCCAAAAATGACCATAATGGTCAAAGCAAGCCAAGACAGTGAATAAGTTTTTTTTAAATTAATGATTTTCCATGACCCAAGAGCTACTCTTTTTAAAGAATCATCCCATTGACCTGGGCGTGGTGATTCACTAGTGATGGTGGTGGTTGACCAAACGGCCAAATACAATACTAGCAAAACGATTAAGTACCAATGCTGGTTTTAACAGTCTCATTGACAACGATTCAATTAATAAACTTGCTCATGGCAACGTGCCCCCTGAAAATCTAATTGTATCTCTGTATCATTGGGGTGTGGAGTTAAATTAGCATTATGTGCGCGAGGAATAAGAGAATGATTGTAATGATTTAACTGCAAGTTTCCATCCAATCCAACATTGCATATCGAATTTTTTTGTGTTCCAAAGTGTCCAAATGTGCACAGTTTTCCGTATGAGATAGAGATAGAGTTAGAGATCTCCAACAGTCGTGTTGCCTTTTTCTTTTGCCTTGGACATTTCTTATGATTGTTTAATATTAAATAATCCAAAACAATCATTTGATATACTAAGGTTTTGCTGCACGTTTATACAAGATATTTAGGCTACTATAAAAAACAATAAGGTGTTAATACAAAATAATCAATGCTATTGAAAAAAAAGGCCAAAAGACAAACACGAAAGCAAATCTGATATTTTAGATACGCGTGGGTTGGTGTATTGTTAGAAGAGAGAGAAAAATTCAAGAGATTTTTGATATTTTCTTTATTACCATGATAAGTAAATAAAAGCAATGTTGAAAATGACCATTTAGAAATTAAAATGGAAGGAAAAGGCCGAGGATTTAGAAAAGAAGTTGTTTCAATTAAAAAAAAATTGATAAAGTTAGAAAAACAGAATGGTAAAGATCCCATAATGCAAATATTGGAGTCTGATAAATTATTTTCCATCCATTCCATTTCGTTTATTTATCTATTCACTTGGTATATATATCGTTTACAACTTTAACTAACTTGGTTTTTTTTTGGTTATTTATTATTCCATCTTTTAATTAAACATACAACCCCGCTTCATTTTTTTATCCTTACACTGTTCCATTGTTATATCAAGAAAAATGTCATCTGGCAAAATAACATTTGCTATATTTGTTGTAACAATTCATCCAAACCTTCTTTGGTATATTTACTTGATATATAGGATCAAACGTCGTCTTTTTGTTTCTTGAACATGAGTTAGAGAAATTAAAGAGATCTAAAATGATGATTCGTGCATTGGTACAAGAAGTACTTAAGGGACTTAAGGGAATGAATTGACTGATATACCACAATTTAGCATCGTTTTTCGATGAAGACCTGATCAAATTAAACTTTTTTAGACTTAACAATTATATGATTCAAGAAGATCTCAAATAAATGATCCAAGTGCAAAAATAGATTTTATAATTGCATGCAAAATGGGCAATCATTGTATGTTAACTAACCAAATAAAGAACATGGATATGAAGAAAGGGATGATTTTGAGTCATTATTTTACACATATGAGTTATTGCATATAACAAAGAATGGTTGCCGGGGTTTAAAATAGTGGCACAACTATTCTTGATTGTGACATAATCATTGCAAATAACTGGTTTATTGTACGTCCGACTATGAAACAATTCATACAATAAATTTATCTGATTGATAAAAAAAGAAACTCCCTTTTGGATAGTAGTCGGACACTATTTTTTAATAACAAGTATATGTATGTATATGCATGATAGGTGGAATGACCTCAAAAAATATTAGGTAATAAACTAGTGTAACTTCCAACAAAATGTTCATTATAAATCTAACAATTTAAATTTATTATTATGCTTTAATAAATAAAGAATTTAGTTCATATATTAAAAAGAACCCTAACGGCATGTTTGAACCTTTCTATTTATATTGCGAGGGTAGCTTTTGGGTCAATCTCGATTATTTTACGTTTTTAATTTATTTTACAGGTTTATTTGCTTACTTCCTCCCTCTTTCTTGCACCTAGAAAGTTTCGGCGAATCCGCAAGTACACTTTACAAATAAGTTACAATAAATAAATATAACCCTTCTACGAAGCAATAAAGGCTCCTGTAGGGTTCCCTTTTGTTTTTAACAATACCTAGTAATGACTGTGTTAATAACTGTTAGGGCCCTTTGTATAGATGATTAATCAATAATAACTGTCAACGCTTAATACATTTGCCAATCAGTCTCAACTAGAGAGATGGGAAATTGCATTGCATTTTTTTAAATTGTTTTTTTTTAAAGAAATAAATATAATTTTCAATATTATTATCATTAACACTGCCTTCTTCTTCGCCACTTTCTATTCTAATTGTTTCATCGTCATCGCTTTTATCATTTTTGCTTTCCACATTTCCATCACCATCAATTGCAATATCCATATCATCATTGTTGGTATTTTTTGACATTTTAATTTATAATTAAAATAAATATACTGTACACCAATTTAAAACAATTAGTTTATTTCTCTTTTTATCATTTATAAAAAGAAAAAGTAAACCAATTCCTTTTAGAAGCAAAGCTGATGAAATTATCAATTCTACCAGTTTAGCATATGTTTGATTTTGTTATTTCTTAAAAATACTATATATCAATAATATAATCAATAATAAATTCACGTTTTTTTTTTGAAAAAAATCATGCGCGTGTTATAGTGCGCGCAGCATTTTTTTTGCCATGCGCATGTCACATCTCTAGTCTCAATAAATAAAACCTAATACACTATGGCTTTTTTGATTGATGATTTTGATAGAATGTAAAATGATCAATGAAGTTAAAATTTTTTGTTAACAATGAATAACTGAACATCTTTTTCCTGATTATAATTATTCACTCAATGACTAATATAGTGTGTCCAGGATTATGCTTTCACATAATCTACGTGTATAATTTACTTTTATGTAAGTGATCGACGATGATTATATTCAATTACAATTACGATTATCCCTTAAACTGTTTCTGCAGCATATATGGTGCAAAAACACAAAGATGATTTTTGAGATTGTATCATTAATCCAGTAAAGGAAAAACAAAGTGTTACATATTGTTCTTAGTGATGTTGTATGTGAAATTGAAATTATGTATATTATGGAGTGGGGTGAAATTCTGATTAGTTAATTTGAATTTCACATATGTAAATTTGAATTTCACATATGTGAATTGCGAATTCACATAATTTCATTTTCACGTACAACAGATGATAAATGATTGTGCAAAGTAAAGGAACAAAAAAAATTACTTTGCCGATCATTTTGTATTATTAATTAGGTGAAGATAAAAAACCCTTCTTTCTCTAATATTTGGTATACATTATGTGATGCTCCATTATGTTGTAATAATGGTAGAAACTGTTTTAAAATTTATCATGAAAAACAAAATATCAATTTAAATGAGGATTATTTATCATGAATAAAAATTTTTACATTCTGAAAAATTTAATACATATTTCAGGTATATTATAAAGTGAAGATTTTACTAATTATATCTTTACATTGGCTTTAACTAAACTTAAACTTCAAGTTCTGAGGAATAAAAATGGTATAAGTTTTAATGGGGTCATTTTTTTTTATGATGATTTCCATAAGGAGCAAAGTTTTCTTTTATTTTTTGTGAAATTTTCTAAAAAAATACCTATTATTAGAATATAAAATTTTACTAATAAAAATAAATTACTGTTATGAACTTAAATAATAAGTATAAAAATTGTGCTACATTTTATGGGATAGAATGAAAAATGCATTAGAACGTTTGAGGAAAAAAATAATCATTTTTTTAACCAACTATAAATCATGAAAAAAAACCAATTGTTGATAACCATATAGAATCAACAAAACATAAAGCTGCTGAACAAAAACATAAAAATAATCCACAACCTTTACAAAGCTCTTTGCTTTTTTCACTAATAATGATCATGACAAAATCAATATTGCAATTATTGAAGCATTTACTAAAGCTGATATTCCTCTGGATAAAATAGATAAATTAAAGTCTTTTTTTAATTCATATTGTAAGAATGGTAAGAAAATTTTCATATCAAAAAAAATTAAAATAAATTAATTTGAATATTTTAATGTAAATTATCATTTATTTTTATTTTTATTATTTCCTAGGAGGTTATATTGTAGGTTCAAATCAACTTCGAGAAAAATATTTGCCAATGAGTTATGAATTTGAAGTACAGAAATTAAAAAATTTAATAAAAAATAAAATGATTAGTATAACTGTTGGTGAAACTTCCTGTGTCCAGTGTTGATGTTGAAAGATATTTTTCGATTTGTAAAAGTATATTAACTGATAAACGCACAGCTTTAAAAGAAAAATTAAATTTCATGTATTTTAATTTTTCTGAATATTAATTTTGGTCGGAATTATTATGAATTTGCCCCAAAAATTATGAAAAAAAAAAGCATCAGGAAGGACACCCTATCAATGACGAATTCGGATATTGACTGAGTACGAGTGGATGATGAGACACATGAGAAACTTTATTCTACGTATATACAATGAATGATCTACAAATGAATATTCACGACAATCATTATTATATAATCAAATCACTCACTAATACTAACATACCAATCGGCAAATTTACTTTCTAAGGAAAATTTAATTTAACTTTAAAAAATTTTTGCTATGGACTTTCTTGTTTAAAATTTATATATATATATATATATAGTGTTTTATATATTGTTAACCAAATAAAAAATGGATTTTAAAAAATCATATTTTTCTAAACTCGTATTTATAAGCATTACATTATCGCTATTACTATTATTAATAATAATAGTTGGAGTTGATGCAAATTATCATGATGAAGGTGAAAGCACATATCATTCATTTCCACCACCACCAAATTCTATTCCACGTTTATCAGAAATTGATCGTAGTAATTTGCCTAAAAATATCATTGCCATAACTGGAGTTGGAGGTTGATAATAATAAACTTATTGAATCGATTGTGAATTTATCAAATTAATAATAAATAATAATAATAATAATGATTAAATTGTTGATTTTAGGATGGAGTCATCTTCGAAGGATGTTGGATGTTTCTCAAATTTTGTCTACACGTGGATTTAATGTAAGTATTGTTTTTTTATTGCAGATGATTTTTTAATTTTAAAATAAAAATTAATTATTTTTTTTTTTTTTTAAAAAGATTACACTATTATCACCTGGAAATTATTTACCAAGTCCTAATTATCCAAATATTTCACAAATTTCCACTGGGCCAGCATTTTCACCATCAGATTATCCTGGATATGATAGACTTATAAAGGAATTTGTAACATTGAAAGAAATATATCAACTTCAACAATCAGCAAATAAGTATTATCCTAGATTATATAAAATCTATCAGCAGGCAATTGAAGAATTTAACCCTGG